AATCTAGTTTGGCTTCTGGGCTTCAGGGCTTAGAGTTGAAGCACATACCATGTTGTAAAGGAGGAAATCTTGAGGCCGGGAGATCCTTCGCATTGTAAGCACGGCCGGCGTTTAGGGTTGGTTTCTCAGAACCACTGCAATTATCAACAAGAGTCGGGGACGGCAACAGAGTAACCAGAATGAGCCCAAAAAGATCATTGAAGCATTGTAGGGCTGAGAACTCTTTACAAGTATATGATGCTTACAATTTGCCCCTTCCGGGACATCGTCTGGTTCCTTATTAGGAATACTATTCACCAATGACTTAGGTTCCATATCAATTTTGAACCATAACCCAGTCGTACCTGAAAGAACGCTGTGGGAACTCCATGGTCTAGGCGGGCTTTGCAGAAGCACCGGCAGGCTCTACTTAGGGGGGTGGGGCGGAGGGCACTTGGCAAGGACTTTGAAAACTTGTTTTTCCGTGCCTCTCTGAATGCTTCGCCAAAACCTCTCGGCAACACTAAAACAGCGGCAACATGGAAGTTTCTCACAAGAGGGTAACCCTAAGGACTTTTGCCGTCTGAACGGATGATCAATGATAATGATAGCGGGGCTTCCCCACTGAAATTCCAAAGCCAACCTTGTGTAGGCACCGACCTCTTCCTGCATCCTGTTGGAGTCAAAATTCCACCACCTCCCCCCCGCATGTACGTGAACCACTGGCCCAAAGCCTGGGCTTAAGCCTTGTTTGGGGAAACCGAATTTTTGGAAACACCAACAAGTCCCGCCGTTTGAGGCAGATGCTCTGCGGTGCGAAGCTCTCGCAGTCGGGACTGTGCGCGGTTCAGAGCTTCGGGTGTCGGGTTCATGAATGCGTGGTAAAGAAGGGTTGCAAGGAGATTCTAGGTGGTGAAGTGCTGTTAGCCCGAATGCCCTTACAATCAAGACTATGCAGCTTTTTTAAGGCAACCCACATCTTGAGGCATTGCCACATAACACTGCACTGTGCCAGTATGCCAAGCTATGCACAGGGATTTGCGAGTAACTTGCCGAACTGTACACCAAGGGATCGCAGACTGGATGGCTGCTCGGAGACTTCAGCTTCTTGGGGAATCTGGAACCTCAATCTAACGAGCCAAATTCTGGATGCGACCTGCTTCGCATCTGATGCGCTTCGGCGCTCTCGCTGCAGGTTGTCTGAATTCTTTCAAACCTGTCTTCTCTCAACTCACAAGTTGAACAACCCTCATCTTGTAAGGAACCAAACTGACCAAACAGCAAGTTGCGAACAAAGTTGCAAAAAATGATGTCAACCGTCCAGCAAACAGAATTTCCCCTCAAGGCTAAGTCACTGCCTAGACTTCCAAATCCTGTCCGATTCGTAGACCGCAGCTAACATTGTCATTCCTCTGGCTTTTTGGGCTACTCTAGAGGTTACGGATCGTGTTATTGCTGTGCTGGACCAAAAAGAATCGGAAGCCCCGTTTTCAAGATACCGTACCCCACCCGGTTTGCAGGGTCTCAACAGAAATCCCCACCCGAGGGTGCCTAGATACTAGACACTCCAAGATGGTGACCCATAGTGTTTAAACAACCATGTACGGAAATGCGCATGCAAAGGAGGCCCCTTGGGTGGGACTAAGTTACTTCATGCAGTGCAATCAATATCTATCCTCCCCCGAGGAAAAACTCAAATGATCCCTCACGAGGCTCCCAGCCAACCCTCCAACCACAACCACTGCAATATATAAACCCGTAAGCCGCACACCCTAAATCCTGTACCACCCTAACAACATGCTACAACCTCCAGACTCCTGACACACTGCCTCTTTTTACAAAATGGGGCTACACCTAGGGATTCCAGGGATACCTACAAAAGTACATATGTATATATGGCCGTATATATATATATAAGTGGACTATGAGGGGGTTCAGGGGTTCTGGGGCACCTTATTATGGATACCTTAAACTCTAAACCCTAAGCATTAGACTCAAAGCTCCGCTCGTCATCCGGGAAGACCTGGAGCGTTGCAACCGTGCCTGTGCTTGCAGCAGGTGCTCATCCTCGATACCACAGCCTTCTGCCTGTGAAACCGGCATTCGGGGCCAGGTATATTGTCTTTGGGCTTAGGGTTTAGGGTTTAGGGTTCAGGGTTCATAGGGTTTAGGATTTAAGGTTTAGGCTTGCGAGAGGTGTGTGCTCTCTCGACCAGACTGTCGGATCTAGCCGGGACTCAAGTGGTTGGAAGCGAAAGCGTCACATTGGGGCTGCCCATCCTCCCTGGCCTGACCCATGTCTTGAGCGAGGGGCTAGAAGCCCAAAGCACTTATTTTCATGGATCTACTGCCACCCCACCACCCTCCTGTAGGGTCACTTCCCAACAGCATGCCACAACTATGGCCTTCCTACTGGGGGTTTACCTGGCTTGCGTGAAGTCCTTAAAGTCCCAAACCCAGAACCCTAAACCCTCAACCTCCCCACAATAGCAGCAGACCTGCTCACGCCACAGCCCCATTCTTGTGCTTAAAGGGGAGTGTTTAGGGTTGCGGGTACTATAGCAACAATCACATATGGAGTATTGTAGAGATCCAATTCCCCACTCCGCCTGCAACACCAGTAAGCCAAAGGCGAAATGCCCAAGCCCAACACCCTGACGCCTCTAATCTAGAAGCCTGAATTGTTTGTGACATTATCCGGTCTGACTTTGAAATCTTATTCATCTTATTGATACTGTCATAGACCCCAAGCCCAATTCTGGTTGATATTCAGGCCCCTACAGCACCCCCCTTGTGACTTTCAGCCTCTCCAACGCATTCACAGGCCTCACGCAAGGCTGACTCCAGGTGTTCGGGGTCGCCGTGGCTATGAGAGATCTTCAGCCTCGAGTTCAGAGCGTCAAAGTCTTTTGGAGAGGTGTAAGATAGGGAGCGCGTAGGAGCTTTAGTTTGTAGAGGGGCGTTGGGTGGCGAGGTTTGCCAGGTTGAGGTTTGGAAGCTTTGCGCTTAGGAGCTTTGAGCGGACGGTGTCCCAGGGTCTTTGGAGAAAATCCTATGTCAATTGTCTATGGCTTCACAGGCTAGCACCGCAAGTGCTTAAGAATAAAACATGATTTGACAATGCGGGGACAAGGGTTCTCTGAGCTGGAAGCAGGTGATAACACCAGCCAGACATGTGCAACGTCTCGGAATGGGGACGCTTCGCTGTCCCATAAAAAAGCTGGGTCCGTGGCTTCTCCTTTGCATCAGCCTAGACAGGGGTACAGTCTGCGATGAAATTTGCGTACTGGTGGGTCGTAAGGGATAAGGGAATATCATCCCCATATAACAAGTCGCTCATTCCCTACTGACGCCCAGTAAGTTTATGGTTAAGCGTTCATTCGGCTCAGGGTGCTGCGCCTCAACGTCAGCTTTGCAGGCTTCATGTATGAGGAAACCGTTCCTTCAAGGGAAAACTGCTATCGCCCCCGGCCTTGACAATTCAAAGCATGGCAAAGCTTCAGGTGGTGCATGTTTAGGGTGTAGCGTTTAGTGGAAGGATTCAACTGTTTAGAGCTTCCGATTGGAGAAATCAGCCAGTAATCGTTCAATTTCTGCATCGAAGCCAAGATACTCTGATGCTAGTGTGAGGCCTTGACCAATCAATTTCCATGTACGTCCTTCTGACAGCTTGCCCCTAACACCACATCAACTACAAAAAGCCCAAAACGAAAAACATGGTAACAACATGGGTTGACACAACAACTGTCTAAAGCCGTCTCTACCCACAACCACTCGAAAGCAGATCAAATCCGCCGGAGACGATGCCTGTTTCTTGTGACGGCCGAACTCCTCCTGTCCCAGGCACGAGGGTGTGTCTTTCTCTCGACGACATGACTACTTCTTGCTGTGACTGCAGATACTTTCTCCACCAACCCCACAAAACCCTTCTTCTGCAGCTTGCTTATGAAAGGGACCTCCTGGTTTTTCGGATCGAAGGTTCGAGGCATGGGGTTTAGCTCCAAGGCAGCGTGTCAGCCAACTGTCTTTCAAAGAAGATAATGATGATAATAACTATACTAATTGTAATTGTAGTAATAGTATTAATAATCATAATAATAACCGCAATAATAATCATAACAATAATCGTAATAATCACAATAACCAGAATAATAATGGGTAGGTAAGGTTTTATGTGACCAGCCAATCACTTCATCAGGCGCCTGGCCATCAGGAATCCTCATAGGGGACCCAAATAACAAAACTAGGGTTTAGGGTTCAGGGTTTAGGGTTAGGGTTTCCCAGTAGAGGTTTTGGAGGATCGGGTGTTGGGGAACCCTTGGAAGCCAATACCAAGGTTGTTGATGCGGTAGCCTTTGGCCTGTAGCATCGTGGAAGCCCCTGCTTCAATCCTGAATTTTGCTGAATTTTGGGTAGCTCCCAAAATTACTACAGTATTAGGGCCCCATTTTGGTACCCTTAAATATGGGGTACCATAACGGAATGTATACCCAGAAGGGGCCCAGAATTTTGAGAACAACCCATTTGATGCCTTCAGCTCCAATCTAGACTGACAACATGTTGTTCCTAATACTAGAGCTTTGCGGCGCTGTCATCAGCATTGGCTCCACCACCTTTCTCCATGTTCACCATGATATTTACGGATTGCAAGCCCTCCAAGACTGACAGGAGAATGGGAAAAGCTTGACTTCTCCAACTTGTAGTAGCATCTGTTTGCACTGCGCGCACTGAGCAAGCACAGCTTCGCAATCTGGTCACTTGTTGATGAAGCCAACCAGATTGGAAAAGAACATGGTCAGCCCAAGATAACGGCTTAAAAGGCTAGCAGACAGACTTGCTACCGTAGGCGATCAACCAGTGGCCAGAACCTATTGATAACGGAACTCGGAGCTCAAATTGACCAGGTTCCAACCTTGACAAGGGCACCACAAAATCTACATGGAGCTTAAGTATAATTTTCTGGGTAACGCGTCTGACCCCTCCTTTTGTGTCCAGTGTCATGTAATTTGAGCCTCCGTCGCTTACAGCATCAAAAATGTGTCCACTTGAGCGCTTGATCCCCGGACAAACTCCGGGGCCGGCGTTCCGCCACAGGCGCGTGCCTGCGCGCTGTTGTAGACCTCAGCTGCTCCTGCCTGAAGCGACTAAAAACATAAGAGTGGGTCGGCAAAAACACTCAGGGGCTCTTTCCTGAAAGGCTTCTGGGGCATCGAAATACGGGAGGACCACAGAAAGCAGCAAAAAGCTCACAGCACAATCCACGGCACGAGGAAGGCGGCCGAGTACGCCGCCAAACTGACTGCTCCAGAACTCTTCCCTGGCTGCGGAACAAGTGGGGGCACCGTGCCATCTGCGTTTGCTTTCATCACCTTCCTTGATTGCTTGCAATGAGCCAAACAACGATTGCTGGGGCTCATACCCTCCAGTAATCCCTGGATTGTAGATCACCCCTATCCAAGGAAACTGGCAGGTAGAACTTGAATTCTTTTTGACTCCAAGTCTCCCATTAATGGCAATGTCCTTTGTTGTCAAGTTCTGACCACCAGCCAGAGGCATTGTCAGATGATACTCTACCCAGGAGCTTCCAAGCTCTCTTGGTGACATCACAGAAGTAAGCGACACTGTGAGGTTGCATGGATTGGGCGACACGTTCAGCACCATGACACTTACAGCCCCTTTGATGGTAGGGTGGCAGTGAGCATAGCTCCTCAGGGAGCCACCAAGCGCCCCAACATCCAGCACCTTCACCCCCATGAAGCGCTTGTACGCCAAGTATGCCCAGTAGGATGGGTTGGGTGAAAATCCCTCAGACGTCGCCGAGATGACCGAATAGCCTCCGCCCCCAAAGAGCCCTTGCCGCACCACGCCCGTGTATCCCAGCCTTGACAACATGGCGACCTGATCGAGGTCGGTGAAGATGGCTGCAAACGTGTCTGAAACGCCATGCACGCCTCCGCCCCACGCACTGGCACTCTCCTGGGCACATCAACTGAAACAAAGCTTTGATCCTGCTTTCCAATTAAGTAGCCTACTACCCAATAATTTGAAACCGTTCCTGTATTAGATAGTCCCAAAAAAAGAAGCAAGAAGGCGAAGTCTCTCCAACCCATAGCATGCTGCCCGGGGTGTACTCATCTCGCATCGCCACCGTTCTGTTCGCATAGGACTGAAGTGCATCCAGAGTTCGTGGATCCACAAACTTTGAAACAGGTGACTGGTTGTTGAAGTAGTAGTGATGCCAAGTCCTATGCTGTCAGCGAAGTATCGAGCGAAGAATGAACACTTTCTCACAACAAGCCGCATTAAGCACATTTAATCTACTCGACACGACAGTAATACATCGCCCAGATTCAGAACATTGGGTTCCCACCGGGCAGCAGCTGCAGCTGCTGTGAAGTTCTCCAAGTAATCGCAGCAGTGGGCGGCATCGGGCCCAATGACAAGCGGGACGTGAGCACTTGAAACGCCTGCCAAACTGTAGGTGTACCTCAGCATTTCCCCAAAAAAACTTTCCAGTTAGTACCCCAAGTCCTTCCCAGCCTGTAGCCTGGATAGGGCCCCCCAAATTTTGGAAACCCTACACCTGAGGAGCTGGGAGAGAAGCAGATCATCTTGCACGTGCTCTTTCGCCGACACCGAGCACTTGGGGTTGCTGGGATCAGGGCAGTGGGGGTCCGGCTCATTCCTGGGTGTTCAACAGATGGAGAATCAACGGGAAAATAGAAAATGCGATGGAATCTGAATCTGCTATCTAAACGTTTCGGGTTCTCAATACTGGAAGATCACATGAAAAAGATATTTGAGACTGAAATGGGACCAGGGTTGTAGAGGGGCTACAGCTTAGGGAATTACAGAACTCATACTCAGTTACCTGTGTCAGGAGAAGAGACGTATGTATGTATGTTTTATGTATGTATGTATGTATGTATGTAGGTATATCGATGTTATGGTAACTCAAGTTGACCATCTTAACAACAACCCAGATTCCCAAGCTCGTAACCAAATGGCTGGTCATGCTGCAGGTGGTACTGTAACACTTGTGCCAGCTGCGCTATATTGACTGGGCCAGCCATAGAAGCATCGGGTTTGGGTCGCTTCATGTAGTTCAATCCCCAAACGATATCCCAGCCCGTGGCATTTGCAAACCTGAAGACCTTGTCGATGTCAGCCGGGCCAAAGGAACCCTCTCCCGGAGAGGCGCTGAAGTCATAGGTTACCTCGTCTTGGCTGGAGCCTCCCACCCTCATTATGGAGGGCCCCAGGGCCTTGCATAGGTTCACCAAGCGCTTATCATCCAGCGGCCCCTGCTTCACCCCACCACCAAACTCAATGGACCAGGCGGCGTGGCCTTCTGGGCTGCTGTTCTGTAAGCCCAGTATACTGTAGTGGTTTCCATTTTCTTGTCCATTATCCCTAGATAAACCCGATATATTATAGTAGTGTCCATTTTTCCATCATCCCTAGATAGTGCCAATAAACCCCAATATACAGCAATATACTATAGTAGTTTCCATTTTCCTTTTCATTACCCCTATATGACGCCAATATACTATAGCAGTTTCCATCGTCAAGTTACCAACTCATATTTCCACTGCAATTAATGTGGTTTCCCCATACTGGTAGCTTGATCTCAGTTCCGCAACCACAAACCGGCCTTGTAGGGTCGTATGAACCGGTGGAGACTCGGTGTCGACCACCACACGCTTCACCGGAGAGCCGCTGACGGTCACAGCTAGCAGGACCAACCGCAGGAAAGGGCTCCGCAACATTGCTGGCTTTGAGATCGGCCGTCTACAAAATCTGTTAGGTAGCTTGTGCAAGACCATCAGTATGTAACAATATGATGTAATTATAACTTGGCTTTACCCTATGTAGGTACGCAATTGGGAACTGCAGGTGATCCATACAGAAGTTGTCCCATGTACGAACCTCGGCCTTAGGGACCCCAGCAGCGAGCAGGCTTCAAAAAAGCTGCGAGATGCCAGCCTCCAACAGCCCGCATAAGCAGAGCGCAAACATGGAAACCTAACTCAATGGTGGGTTTAGAGAGAAAGCAGAAGTAGATCCCTGTAGTAACCTCTATATTCCATGATTACTTTCCTTCTCTCTGTTAAAGGGAGCTCCACGGCATCTACCTGACTAGGGCTTTACAAGGACCCACTATGGGAATGCAGACCTCTTGACGGAACCCTGCTATCATACCCACTTACTCCGTGCGTGATACATGCACAACATACTGGTACAGTTGGGAATGCAAAGGCCTGAACCCTAAACCCTAAACCCTAATCCCTAGACCCTAAACCCTAATCCCTAAACCCTAAACCCTCATCCCTAAACCCTAAACCCTCATCCCTAAACCCTAAACATGATCTCCAAGCACCTTGCCTGGAACTTCGCTTCTGCCTGCCGCACGCGCTTCGCAGCTGTGCTGCACTCGGCGGGGCAGGCCGCCTGGCAGGCCTCCTGCGACATGGGTGTTTCCCAAAATTAGGGGCACCTTTTTGGGGGTCCCTATAATAAGGATTATAGTATTTTGGGGTCTATATTGGGGTCCCCTTATTTTGGGAAACTACCACATTTGAGCTCCAGGAAGGCTAGCAAGACCTTAAGAATGCAAAACGAGCAATAAGACCACAATTAATTAAGACTATTACTTCTATCATGATTACGATTATTCCTGCTTTTCTAAATACTGAAAGCTGAAGTTGAATCAAAAGGCAGGAGACATCTGAAGAGTGTAGCTGGTGTGGCATAGCGGGCGAAGCAGCAACAGCCTCAAGGAGCATTTGACCAGATTTTCCCTCAAGGAATCGCCTTCTCGTCTTTCGGAATGAAGACATCCCTCTTCACTGCAAGGCGCAGACTCAGAGCTACATAACTTTAGGGTTTAGGGGTTTAGGGGTTTAGGGGTTTAGGATTTAGGGCTTAGGGTAAACCCTAAACCCCAAACCTTATACCCGACCTAGGTTGGCGGGGCAAGCTGAAGCAAGACTCAAATCGCTCTTAACACAAAGGTTTCCCGGGACTCTAGCAAGTTGAAACCTAAAAAGCCCTGCTACCACACTATAGGGGTTACATAGGGTAATATTTGGGTATGTTGGGTTGTATAGGGGTTATATAGGGATAATGGAAAATAAAATGGGAACTACTATTTAGGGTTTCAATTTCTAACGGCACTCCAGAGGCTGCCGACAAAAGGTACTCGATTGCTTTTCAATGCCGCCTGCATTCCAGAACGTGGAGCCTCCAATGCACCAGAATCACTAATTCATCCCTATAGCTTTGCCCCCCCCACCTGTGACCCTAGAACTTGCGCACACTTAACAATCCGAAATCCCACGTTGCAGCCTCCATTCGCTTCACGACACGCTGCGCCTTCCGACAGTGGTGATTTGACTCTGGTGTACACTTGAGGGCGCATGCTTCACAGAACAAATTGCTTGAGATAACCCAGTTTCAGGAATGCTTTTTGATGGATGGTATATCACAGCATTGCCTTCAAACATCTACCCCGGGATCAAAAAAGAATACCAACGGAGCAGGGTTTCTACACGTTTGGATTTAGGGTCTCACAAAACCTTATACCCCTTTAGATTCCCGCACAATCTCTCACAGACAAGACATGGGATCCCGCATAATCTCGCATGGCCTCTTGTAATTCTTATGTCCCCAGAATCCCCAACCCCTAATCCCCAAACGCTCATCCCAAAACCCCAAAAAGGATCTTAAGGCAAAACCCTAAACCCCAATCCCCCCAACCCCTACACCCTAAACCCTGAACCCTGGGCCCTGAAACCCTTAAATCCCTAAAACCCTAAACCCCTAAACCTCTTAACCCTAAACTACCCTAAAACCCTAAACCCCTAAACCTCTTAACCCTAAACACTAAAACCCTAAAACCCTAAACCCCTAAACCCCTCTTAACCCTAAACCCTAAAACCCTAAACCCCTAAACCTTTTAATCCTAAACCCTAAAACCCTAAACCCCTAAACCTCTAAACCTTTTAATCCTAAACCCTAAAACCCTAAACCCCTAAACCTCTTAATCCTAAACCCTAAAGCCCTAAACCCCTAAACCTCTTAATCCTAAACCCTAAAACCCTAAAAAACTAAACCTCTTAATCCTAAACCCTAAACCCCTACACCCTAAACCCTGAACCCTGGGCCCTGAAACCCCGCACGATTCCTGTGAGTCCCGGCCTCCTCCACGGCCTCACCCGCCGAGCCGCTTTGGACCCCCCCAGGTTTGTTAGCCCGGTCCAGGTGCTCCTGGTATATTAGGCTTTAAGGTTTAGGGTTAGGGTTTAGGGTTTAGGGTTTAGGCTTTAGGGTTTGGGGTTTAGGGTTTTGGCTTGGAGGATTGGGGCTAGGATTTCAGATATGGAGCTTAGGGCTTAGGATCTTGAACTCTCCAAGGCATAGTTGGCAAGCTGCTGCTCCCTGAACCACTTTCTACAGGCCATGGGAAACCCTATCTAATGCATTCCCCTACCTCCCCTTTTAGCATACTGCATTAGAAGCACCAAGCCTGGTGCTAGCTTCAAGCTTGCCAGGACCAAGCTGACGAACGCGAGATATCCCTAAGTTCTTAACTTTAAGATGAAGTCAAGAAACCTGAACCCTGGCCTTACTGAGAGCCCCCAGTATTGAACTCCATCCCAACACCCGCAAACTCCAAACACCCTGAACCGTAATCCATCGGACCAGAACCCTGAATCCTAAAAACCCCCAACCCTTGAAAAAAGGCCTCCAACTCCTGCTGAAGCAGCGTCTGCAATTGCCTTGGCATAAAGTTTCAAAGGTTTAGGAGTTGAGGGCTTGTTTAAGGCTTCCAGTTTTAGGCTTTGTGGTTTCACGGATTTACGCAAAGAGGTTATCAGGACTGCAGGGTTTGGTAGCCATAGGGTAGATGGGATGAAGCTGTAGGGCTCTAGGTGCATGTTCTGGGGTATAGGTGCTAGCATTACAGGCGCAGTTCAGGATTATGGACTACTGTGTGACAGGTGCAAGGCTATGGGTTTTTGAGTGTAGGGTTCATGGCACTGTGGATTTTGAAAAAATTGGAAGAGTTTTGGGACAATGCCTGCATGCCTAGTGGTCGTGCGATGCAACGTAAAAATCGGCTGTGATTATTCAAGTGCCTTCCTGAGGCCAGTAAACTTGTTGATAGAGCTGCAGAGATGCTACGTGAGAGGCTCAGAACTCAGAAATGAGTAGATGCTTGTGAGCTCCTCGTAAAAGCTGTCATGATCCTGTTTGCTTACGACAACTGTTTTGATGATGAGTCTTCCAGGCCGCTATTTTGCGCAGTGGCTTTCAAGACCGCCAGGTCGGTAAACCCCAACCTCACATCCCAAGATGTGATTCTTAGACTCTAAGCCTCTTGACCCTAAACTCTGAATCCTGAACCCTGCTCCCTGAGCCCTGGACCCTAAACCCGGAATCCCAAACCTTGATCCCTGAACCCTAAGTCAAACCCTACACCCTCAACCCTAAACCCCTGTACGGCTCTGCCCAGGTGCTTCCGCGCGGAATCCACCAAAGGGGCCGAGAGGGCTGCCCGATGCAAGGCCCCGCTCTGCTGTTTCAGCGCCACGTCCTGGGGGGTAGGGTTGAGGGTTTTAGGGGTTTAGCGGTTCAGGGGTGTAGGGGGTTAGGGCTTAGGGGCTTAGGGTTTCAGGGTTTATGGTTTCAGGGTTTAGGGTTTAGGGGTTTCAGGGCTTAGGGTTTCAGGGTTGAGGGGTTAGGGTTTAGAGTTTTAGGTTTTAGGTCTGCAGGGCTTAGGGCTTCAAGGTTTAAGGTTCAGGGGCTTGGGGGCTTAAATATACTTGGATCCCTTGGGGATTGTAAGGGAACTCAAGACGGCTTGCTTGCGGAACGAAGCTGATCTGGGGTTGTTTGCAGGAATTTGAGGTTTGTTGCTTGGCACCCGGCATAAAATCGCGTCACACTTACATGCCTCGCGACGCGTGGACAAAAAAAAATGAAGGACAGTTATTGCTCAAATTGCTCCAGGTCCTAAAATTTGCGCTCCCCATAATGTTTCCATTAAAAATACTTCTTAGATGAGTTCCCAAACTCAGACAGCTCGGCACTGGACCTCCGCCATCGGCACTCGCAGTTTGCTGCATGAAAGCCGATAGTGAGACATGCAAAATCCGAACTCCCCACCCCAAACCCTCAACCCATCCCTAACTCACTGCTAAAACCCCCAACCTCTGAAACACCTTCACCCTGATCCCTCACCCCTGACCCTGACTCCCTTAACCCCCAATCCCCTCTCGACCTCTAAACCCTAAACCCCCCTACCTTAATTAATTAAAAGCCACATCCACCAAAAAAGAAAAAAACTGAAACCCAACCCCTAAACCCCCTTAGCCCCTTAGCCCCCGATTCCGAGCTGCCTGGAGCGCCTGTTCCAAGAGCTCTGGGCTCGCGCTTTCGCCCAGAGTAGCTTCCCGAAGCCGGGCTTGTACCTGCCTGGGAAGAGGACTGGGGCTTAAGGGTTCAGGGTTTAGAGTTTACAGGGGTTTAAGGGGTTTTAGGGGTTTGGGGGTTGAAGGGTTTAGGGGCTTAAGGGGCTCAAGGGCTTAGGGTTTAGGGTTTTAGGGGGGGTTGAGGGTGTTTAAGGGCGGTCGGGGTCTAGGAGTTCAAGGGTTGGGGGTTAGCATACTAAATAGTACGCAGAATCCAAACCCCCCTTAGGAAGGACAAAATCCCACTCTGGAATGCCGCGGCAAAGCAGTCTCACCATTCTGAAACTTGTACG